CCCCCCAGGACCGCACAGATCCACCTGGCCAAGTACCCCACAAGTCTGTCCGAGGACACGGACAAACTGACCTCTGAACTGCCCCCCAGACAACGCTACTCTCTCCGCACTTCCCACGGACAGAAACAGTTACTGAACAAGCTCATAGATGTGTGTGAAGGAAAGTCCTGAGTGGTGTGGAAAATAAAAGTGTTAATGAACTTGATAATTTTATCAGATTCGTTTGGTTTTGTTTTGTTTATGCTTGTTTGTGTTTGTTTTTGTTTGTTTTGTTTGGAGCCATTGATGAGGACTTAGTCTGCTCCTGCTGGGTGTGAAGAGATCTGTGCAAACAAATACATGGAAAAAAACGTTGGTAGGACCTTCTAGTTAGAGGCATCCTCCAACCACCCACACTGTGGATAGAACTCTCCTGTCTGTGTTGAAAGATTGTAAGGAGCAGGATCTCTGGTCTCTCATCAATCTCCAATAGACAAACTAAGGGAAACTTCCAGATGATCATCAAAAGTCCAAGAATGTGCTGACAGGGATTTGAACCAATGCTATTCTCAGCCCAGAATGACACAGATACAAACTGAGCTATTGTACAGTCAGCGTGGAGACGGTTGAAAAATATAAAATAAAATACAGCTAGTTGAGACGGTTTTAAAAAAATACAAAAAATACAGCTAGTGGAGGCAGTTGGAAAATATTTTTTAAAATGCAACGCATAAAGACGGTAGGAAAATATGAAATAAAACAAAACTAGTGGAGACGGTTGTAAAATAGAAAGTAAAAAAAAGCTAGTTGAGACAATTGTAATATAGAAAATAAAATACAGCTAATGGAGATGGTTGGAAAATATAGAATAAAATACAGCGCGTGAAGAAGGCTGGAGAGTAGAAAGTAAAATGATGGCTGCTAAATTATAGAATAACATACTGGGGAAAAAGGGGTTTAGAAAAAAGGAAAGAAAATACAGCTAATTCCTAAAGGTTGGGAAAAAAAAATACAGCTAATGAAGATGATGGAAAAATATAAAATAGATTACCGCTAGTGAAGACGGTTGGAAATTGTTAAATAAAATAAAACTAGTAGAGACGCTTGTAAAATAGAGAGTAAAATAAAGCTTGTTCAGACAGTTGTAACATAAGTCTTTTAATAAGAAATAAAATACGCCTGGGGGTGACGGTGGGAAAATATAAAATAAGACACAGAGTGTGAAGACGGTGGGAAAGTAGAAAATAAAATACAGCTAATGGACACGATTGAAAAATGTAAAATAAGACACAGCTAGTGGAGACTGTTGGAAAGTAGAAAATAAAATAAAGCCAGTTGAGACTTTTGTAACATAGAAAATAAAATCCGGCTAATAGAGACGGTTGGAAAATACTCTAGAAACAGTGAGCGTGAAGATGGTCGGAAAACAGAAAATAAAATACAGCTAGTGGAGACAGCTGAAAAATGTAAAATAAAATACAGCTAGTGGAGACAGTTGAAAAATGTAAAATAAAATACAGCTAGTGGAGACAGTTGGAAATGAGAAAAATAAAATACAAAGAGTGGTGACGGTTGTAAGATAAAAAAATAAAATACAGAAAGTGAAGGCAGTTAAAAATTAGAAAATAAAATACAAGGAGAGGATACGGTTGAGTAAAAGAAAAGAAAATGCAGCTAATGGAGACGGTTGGAATATCTAAAATATAATACAGCGCTTGAGAAGACGGTTGGAAAAAAAAATGCAACTAGTGGAGACAGTTGGAAAGTAAAAAATAAAATACAAATAGTATTAGAGAAGATGTTTGGAAAATATAAGATAAAATAAAACTAGTGAAGACGGTTGTAAAAGAAAAGGAAGTACAGGGCGTGTTGACGGTTGTAAAAGAGAGTAAAATACAGCTAGTAAAGACGGTTGAAAAATATAAAATAAAATACAGCTAGTAGAGACGGTTGGAAAATATAAAATAAAATACAGCTAGTAAAGACGGTTGGAAATTAAAAAAAAAAATACAGCCAGTGGAGACGGTTGGAAAGTAGAAAATAAAATACAGCTAGAGGAGACGGTTGAAAAATATAAAATAAAATACAACTAGTGGAGACGGTTGAAAAATATAAAATAAAATACAGCTAGTGGAGACGGTTGAAAAATGATAAAATAAAATACAGCTAGTAAAGACGGTTGGAAAATATAAAATAAAATACAGCTAGTGGAGACGGTTGGAAAGTAGAAAATAAAATACAGCTAGTGGAGACGGTTGAAAAATATGAAATGAAATACAGCTAATGGAGACGGTTGAAAAATAATAAAATACAGGGTGTGAAGACCTTTGGAAAGTAGAAAATAAAATACAGCTAGTGGCTACGGTCGAAAAAGAGAAAGATAAATACAGCTAATGGAGATGGTTGGAATACACAAAATAAAATACAACGCGTAGAGACGGTTGGAAAAGAAAAAAAAAATAATATAAACCTAGTGGAGACGGTTGTAAAATAGAAAATAAAGTGCTGGGCATGAAGACGGTTAGAAAATAGAAAATAAAATATAGCTTTTGGAGAGGGTTGATAAACATGAAATGAAATAAAGTTAGTTATGATGTTTGAAAAATATAAAATAAAACACAGCGTGTGAAGAGTGAAGACGGTTATAAAATAGAAAGTAAAATACAGCTAGTTAAGAAGGCTGGAAAATATAAAATAAAACGCAACGTGGAAGACGGTTAGAAAAAGGAATATAAAATACAAGGAGTGGTGACGGTTGGAAGATATAAAATTAAATAATATAGTAAGTGAAGACGGTTAAAAAATTAAAAAATATAAAACAGCTAGTGAATACGGTTGAAAAATAGAAAAAAAATACAGCTAATGGAGACGGTTGGAATATAAAAAAATAAAATAGAGCCCGCGAAGACGGTTGGAAAACATAAAATGAAACACAGAGCGTGAAGACGGTTGAAAGTAGGAAATGAAATAAAGCTAGTGAAGACGGTTGAAAAATACAAAATAAAATACAGCTAGCGCATGGAGACAGTTGGAAAATATTTTTTAAAAACAGTGAGCGTGAAAAAAGTTGGAAAGAAGTTAATAAAATATGGCTAGAACAGACGTTTGGAAAATATAAAATAAAATAGTGTGTGAAGATTTTGGTAAAAAAGGAAAAATAAAACAGCTGGTAAAGACAGTTGGAAAGTAGAAAAGAAAATAGATCTGAAGGAGACAATAGGAAAACAAAAAATAAAATTCAGCGAGTGAACACAGAAAGTAAAATACAACAAGAGGGGATGGTTGGAAAATATAAAACAAAATACAGCTAGTGAAGACGGTTGGAAAAAAGAATATAAATAAATACAGTTAGTGGTAACAGTTGGAAGATATAAAATAGAATACAGTTAATAAAGACTGTTAAAAGATTTTAAAATGTGATACAGCTAGTGGAGATTGTTGGAAAACATAAAATAAAATACTGCGCCTAAAGACGGTTGAAAAACAGAAAATAAAATACAGAGCGTGAAGACGATCGGAAAGTAGAAAATAAAACAAAAGCTAGTGGAGACATTTATTATAAAATAGAAAATAAAATACAGCTGGTGAAGATGGTTAAAAAATATAATACAGGTAGTGGAGACGGTAGAAAAATAGGAAAAATAGGTTGGAAAGTATAAAATATTTTTCTTCTTCTTGCTTGTTCTCGATGACAGCAGCTAGACAGTCAGTCGGATGTGGCGCACAAATTGTGCAGTTCGCTTTAACTCTAAGAGACTGCCATAGAGCTTTCTCTCAAGGGGAGTCGCATTCTGCCACGTCTGTGTATGAAGGGTGGCGTAGCGCAGGCAGTGCTGAAGGATATGGTTGGCATCTTCTTGGTCGTGTCCACATTCACAGATCGCTGACTCTCCTACCATTAATTTGGTGTGCATATGGTGTTTGAATCTGTTGTGGCCACAACCGAGTCTAAAGATTGTGACCTGGTCTGCTCTATTTAGCATGTAGTAGGGGTCATGTCTGTTGTGCTTAGGGTGGGACCTTTTCCATCTGTTTCTTATGGCAGATTTTATTAGTAATTAGTGTTTTTGACTCTGACTCTGAGAGATCCCTGTCATCTTCAATCTGGGTCATTTTGGCTCCTTCTTTGGAAATAAAATACAGCTAGTGGAGACAGTTGGAAAATATAAAATATAATACAGCTAGTGGAGACAGTTGGAAAATATAAAATAAAATTCAGCGAGTGAAGACGGTTGAAAAACAAAAAATAAAATACAGCTAGAGGGGACGGCTGGAAAATACTTTTAAAAAATACAGCGCGTGAAAACGGTTAGAACACAGAAAGTAAAATACAGCTAGTGGAGATGGTTGGAAAATATAAAATAAGATACAGCGCGTCAAGACTTTTGTAAAATAGAAAATAAATTCCAAAATAAATTATAGCTTTTCGAGATGGTTGAAAAATAAAAAATAAAATGCAGAGCGGGAAGACGGTTGGAAAATAAAAAATAGCTGTATTAAAAAAATGTATTTTCCAACTGTCTCTACTAACTCTATTTTATTTTATATTTTCCAACCATCTCAAGTAGTTGTATTTTATTTTAAATTTTCCAATCGTCTCCACTAGCTGTATTTTAATTTCTATAATGTATTAAGACCGTCTCCACCATCAATATTTTATTTTATATTTTCCAATCGTCTCTACTACCTGTATTTCATTTTAGGGCCTATATTTTCAGACCGTCTCCACTAGCTGTATGTTATTGTCTTTTTTAGTTTTAGTAGATCTTGTGGTTTTACGGCGCTCGCAGCTTCGTAAGGTCATATGAGCGCCAATATTATTGTCTATTTCAAAACTGTCTCCCTAGCTATATTTTATTTTCTATTTTATTAATTTTAAAACCGTCTCCCCTAGTTGTATTTTATTTTATTTTTTCAAACCGTCTCCACTAGCTGTCCTATTTTCTATTTTAAAACCGTTTCCACTAGCTGTAGGCCTATTAAAAAAATATATTTCAATCGTCTTCACTTGCTGTAGGCTATTTTTTTTTCTATTTCAAAATCGTTTTCCCTTTGCTGCGTTTTTTGTTTGTATTTTAAAACAGGTGCCACTAGCTGTATGGGATCTATTTTCTATTTCACAAGGGTCTCAGTCTCAAGTAGTTGTATTTAGTATGTAGTATACGACTATTTCTTTACATGTCCGGTGTCCTGATTACATGTATTAGTATTAGCTTAGTAAGAGTTTTACAGCG